CTCCACCATGGTCCCGGAACCGTTCAGATCCCCACAGAAGCACGGCCAAAATCGGTCATATGATAAACAATTAAACTAAGAGCACTCGAAAGTTTGACTACGTGCACCAGGTCTAAATGATCAGCCATGGTCGGGACGGATGCCCAGGAACCAAGGCTGCTAGGTACCTCCCGCATTGTCCAATGACAATCCCGGGCCGCATAAAACCATATGGATTCGGCAAAACACAGAAATGGTGACCCCATGGCGTACCTCAGGGATCCATTTCCCCATCAACCTGGAGAAAATTCCTCTTCCCCACGGATATGGTCTGGGGTATAAATAAAAGCCATTGCCCCCATCTCTTGATCAAGTCCACAAGTGGTTTTTATACTCGTTGTCCTCGTTGGTCAATTCTTCTTCGGCACTATGAGTATCATGAAATCTTCCGAGCCGGCGCCCAGTGGGACCCTCAGGGAGCGTTCCCTCGCTGTCGCCGCGCAGGTTGAGGAACAGCAGAGCTGGCTGGAGAGGAAACTCAAACCCAAGAAGATCTCAGCAAGGTATCCCTTCAAAGGCACACCCTTACTGTATGCGACATGTGCCTTCGGCAGCTTGGGAGATGCCCTTTTCGGTTATAACTCTGGTATGGCATCCTCGAACATGTTGTCGAGATATAGCTGCTGATTTGATAGGAATCATGTCCGGGCTGCTGGTCAACGAAATATTTATAGCTCGCTTCTTCAAAAACTACGGAGGAGCCGACGGGACGACAAGTGGAGTCGATCCCTCGATTACCGGCATATCTGTTGCGTGTTTGCAAGCCGCAGCAGCGGTGGGAGCACTCATAGCCGGTCGCCTTGGGGACATGATTGGCCGAAAGAAATGTGTCCGCGTCGGCGCTTTCATCTACTTCTTCAGCTCGTTTATTCAGATGTTCGCGCCTGGTTTCGCAACATTCATTGCAGGCCGCACCATTCAAGGAGTGGGCGTGGGATTCCTCTCCATGACCGTGCCTATCATTCAAACGGAGATTGCTCCCTCTCATCGTCGAGGTTTGATGGTGGGTATAGAGTACAGCTGTTTGATTGCTGGATATATGCTTTCTTGTTGGGTGGACTATGGGTTTAACTTCTTGCTGCCAAGTAATATTTCATGGCAGGGACCCTTCATCATCCAGATTGTGCTCTCTTTTGTCTTATTTGGCATGTCATTCTTCCTACCAGAAACCCCTCGATGGTTGGCGTTGAATGGTTTCGTGGACGAAAGCTTGCAAACAATTGCAGACCTGCATTCTGATGGTAACAAGGAAGCGGAACATGTTCAGCGGACCTTCCTCGAAATTCAAGAAGCGGTTATCTATGAAAGCAATCTCGGGAAGTCCAGTTGGAAGGTGATGATCCCCCTGCTACCTGTGTGATTTGCTCGTGGATCAACTAACCATGGATTGCGGCTTTATAGGAAATGTTCACCCGGTATCGTAAACGAACCATTGTGGGAATCACAGTGCAGATGTTCGCGCAGATTAACGGAATCAACATTATCTCCTTCTACCTCCCGAGCACCCTCTCCTCCGCTGGCTATGATAATCGCAAATCCCTGCTGTTCACTGCTGCAAATGCCATTCCCTACACTGCTGCAACCGTTGTTACCTGGTGGTTAGCGGACCGATGGGGCCGAAAGCCTTTGCTCATTCTTGGAGGTCAGTTCCCGTATTGATATCGTTATGAAGGGGAGAATCGAGTTGATTAGCGACTAAAACTAACAATCCAAACAGGTCTCGGCATGGCCGTACTACTCGCCATTGTCTGCGTCTTTACCGAAATTAACGTGGACGTCCAAGTCAAAGCGAACGGCCAGTATGCCTTCGTCATGCTCTACAATATCATGTACGGATTCACCTGGGGCCCGATGCCATGGCTTCTACCGGCAGAAATCTTCCCACTCCGCGGTCGGAGTAAAGGCATGGCCCTGGCCACGACGAGCAATTGGATCTTCAACTTCATCATTGGAATGGTCTCTCCCGATGCTTTCTCTGGTATTCACGGTTATTTCTACCTGGTGATTGCAGGATTTTGTCTCAGTTCGGCCATTCTAGTCCACTTTTACTATGTCGAGACAGCACACCATTCTCTAGAGGAGATTGCTGTTGCATTTGGTGACAAGGCGTTTGCGGATTGTGATGCGGAGGTCATGGAAATGGCTGATGCGAAGAGTGAGCAGGTGGAATACTCGGCGTGAAGGAGGTCTGATGTTTTTGGTTGTGAATTATCTCATGTATCGCCTTTTCCTTTAGGCTCTATTGTGTTCTATATATGAGGAATCACTGGCTTCGTAGAGCTTTTCTATTAATGTATTGTGCACGTTTCTGCATAGATGTTGATGATAAGGCAATGCAATTGCCCTTTGAACTTGTCTTTTTCCCACAATGACAACTATGTTAGTAAAATTGTTAGATGATCCCATCTCCTATGGATGCCTGTTTCTATAGGCCTTGTTTGCTTGCAGACTGCGCGCTTGTTTGCCAGATTCAGGGTATAAACACCCTGCTCTTCGTAGATTGAATACACAATGATTATTTTTTCTCTCTCCCTTTCGCCAACAAAAATGATATAAATAAGTGAAATCTAAAAATCCTAAACAAAAAGAAAAAGAAGAGGTCGTGCCCGGGATCGAACCGGGATTGCTGGTATCAGAAACCAGAGTGATGACCATTACACTACACAACCGAATTTGTTGGATCACGATTTGAAAGTTGGCACTATAATCCTAGAGATGAAGGACCATAAACAAAAATTTATGGTATTTCCAAAAGGCTTCCATATCCAGAGTTTATTCGCCAATTCCTTTTGCAAAGGTCCATCCCGCTTATATGTGCGGTTTTTCAGTGCGGCGGAGACATCGGGAGGTACCCGGGCCGCCCCGCATCAAAATAAAATATATAAAAACCACAAGAATATCGTGAATTGACAGAAGATATATCTTCAAAATCTGCCATGATGAACCCTTACGCCACTCAATCTAAGTTGCTAGGGCATATTAGGATGAACTTTGATGCATTTCCCTGGTTGTATATAGAAAGTACTCTGTACGGTTTATACTTTTTACCACTTTGTTGTATATTTAAAAAAATAAACATACTAAAACATATCAGAGTGTTCTTATATATAATATTCCTAATATCATCTTGTGAAAGAGATCGGATTATTTAAAGTCCTACATTGTTAAGGACAGAGGCCGCATACGCACCGACTACATACTTTTGTGACTTTAAATATAATGCTTCACTATAATTGACAATTTGAGGTAGATATTTCAATCTAGGAAATTTGTTTTTGTATTTAATAATAGTCTGCTATAACTATACGTCTACATTCTTCTTGGTCGTTAATAATATACGACTAGACACTAACACTATAATTTTATTTTATCAACTGCTAACCTAGCTACAAATTGAAACATATGTCTAATCACAATAGCTCCGTAACAATCAGAATTATTCTGCCGTCGCAACATAGATATTACTTGATGCGACGTTCTCAATGGAGACCGCTTCTATGCAATTCTGTGCTCATGTGTATATTTAACATTCAAAGAACCCGAATACTACCAAGAATATCCGGAACGAGAAAGATATCCCAAAGGCAACTATATAGCTGATCTGCGAAGAGTAAAAGGCTGACGATGTCCAACCTACTGTACTCATTGAGCGGGAGCTTCCTAAGAGAGCACTAGCTATTATATCTGCAGAGGTTGACGTAGAGTGACTACTCTTCCGAGTCTTTAGGGCTTTCTTACCTACTTCCTAGTGGATAAGTGGAGCCCTTGTCTTATGAAGTCTTTAACAGTGGCCCACACAACAATTCCGGTTGTGTAGTGTAATGGTCATCACTCTGGTTTCTGATACCAGCAATCCCAGTTCGATCCCGGGCACGACCTTTTCTTTTTGCTTTTTTGCTGGGGATTTATTTTCTGATCTATCTTGGTGAATATAAAATTATTCCGGAAGAACCGTTTAACCGAGACTCGGAGGCTCAATTAGCTCTAGCGTCGAAAAAACCACAGAGACATAAATACGGCCGGGTCGCCCGCGCTTTTACTCTTTTTCTTTTTTCTTTTCTATCAACTTCACGGGGCTCCACTTTGTGGCTTGCTGAGGCTTATCCGATGGCTTCGGCCTTCATGGATTTTCTTCCGTTCCCGGCCCTGGAGAGTATAGAAAGGCGTTCCTCTTTATACAACACTTTATAGCTGTGCTAGGGTATCTTTCGGGATGTCCTATGGGCGTTAGCTGTGGGGAGGACGTCACATACCTTTTTTAATCACTTTGTGTGATTTAGTTTAGATTTTAATACAATGTTGTTTATACATTCGTGACTATCACAATCCCTTAGAGATATATATCCATTCGTAACAAGGATAAATAATCTTGTAGGCATGGATGAATGCTATCACAGCTCTGATAATAAATCTGGTCCAGAGTATCAAAGCACATGATTTTGCAAACAATTCATAGTCTGCTGTGGGTAGTTGATCGCCTACATGTAAGAAGCTAGTCCTTTTGTACTAATTTGTGGTACATAGTATGTGGTGAAAACACTGACATAAATTGAAGCCCGTAAATGATGTGAATAAACAATGGGAATCTCATGTACAAGCTCAGTATGTACTATGCTATGATAAAAAAACACCGGACCAAAGGTCCTATGCCAGTCAAGGATATCTTGAAAGAAGTAAAAAAGAAAAGGCTGATGCATAATGCTGCATGGAACATCGACGAGTCTGGAATCGAAGCGTCAAGAGAAGCAGAAAACACCAATGTCACCCATAAATCAAATACGGTATACCGGCTCTCCAATAGAACACCAAACACCGACAAAACCATCATCACAACATAGTCCAATGGGCCTCCAAAATCAAATGCAACGGAAGAAATAATCCAACACGTAGTCCAAAGTCACCGGGTATCTCAAGCCACAGACACGCATGTATCGAAAGAGGAACGTTGGCCTCGAGAATCATCAAAGCACGCCGCCTGGAAGATTGATTTGTCCTTGTTGGCCACCGTTGAAGCCAGCGCTGTTAGGTGCTGATGCACCAGGCCCTGGAGTACCTGAAGGGTTGTCCATGTGTATCTTCCGCAACATGAACATTGGCTTCCGTCCTTCCTTTTCTAACTGCTTGAACAAGAGAAGGGGTTTCTCCTGCAATTCCAGACAACGCTCTTGATCCCCATAGACAATATAAAGCGCGTAGTTCTTCCAGTCAGAGTTGATGTTGTATTTCTTAAGCGCAGCCGGTAGCACTTTGTAGCAGGGATCTTCCCAAGAGACTCGGAATGACTTGAAGATTTCCACGCTATTTGGATTCTCGCTGCCGCCTCCGCCTCCGCCCCCGCCCCCGCCCCCGCCACCCCGTGAGTCAGACCTGTCGAGTCGTGGGTCAAGGCGTGATGCAGTGGAAGGTGTCTCGGCGCGGGATGATGGAAGCTGACTCGGGGTGGATCGGTCTCCCCGGGAATGTATCGTCGGGGTCTGTTCGGCATAATCATAGGCTGTGTTGCGGTTCGCGCTGGAGAGTGGTTGGGTATATGATCGTGGATTGAGTGTCTGAGGGTGAGCGTGGTGGTGGTGAGGCGACGTTGGGGAAGGAATTCCAGGTGATAGTTGTGACCCTCCATTCATTGAGGCTGTCAAATGGGATGAGGCGGCCGAGGCAGCGGCTGACGGATTAAGGGTGTCGTGATGAGAGCGGCCATCATAGCCTTGATGAGAGCGGCCATCATAGCCTGTAGGTGGAGGGTGGGTTGGCGAGTTGTTTTTGGATGTGGCACCGTTAGGATGAATGCGCTTGGAGAAAGCCCGCGCAATTTTCGACGACGAAGAAAGTTCCTGGGTGAGTGTGGGTTGGGGAGTTGACGTGAGAGTGGCCGTGCTGTCGTGCCAGTTTTCTGAGGATTGCCCATGCGAAGAGGGCGGAGGCAATGGGTGTGACCGATCTTTTACTATTTTGATCACTGGTAAAATTTCTTCGCGCAATCGCCGGTAATCGTCTGTAATCCGTCGCAACTCAGTTTCGACCAACATGAGCTTTTCGTCTCGAACTTGGATCGATTTGATTAAACGTGCGAGATCCTCTTGTGTCGCAGTTTCATTCATACTCTGGTCCGCCGCTGCAAGCGTGGGTTAGAAGTGAGTTTAAAGCGCGGACGTCTGAGAACATACTAAGTGGAATATAATGGTCTGCGTCGAGGGGAACATCTTGCTTGACTTTGATTTCATACACGCTTTTCAAAATCGTCAGGCGATGTCCCACACTATTGATGCCCATTTCCTTCAACTCCTCATGCTTCAGGGCAATCAGGGCTTCACCGACAATCCCATTCTCTGCGTCATAGATTATGGTTAGTACATAGCGCCAACTGAATATGCTCGAAGAAGTCTGCATACCTCGAAATGTACCGTGATATTGCAGTAATCCAAGCGATGTCAGAAATTCCTTGCATTCGTCGATTCCCCATTCTAGAATGAGTGTTCGCGGTGAGCGAGGACCATCGATTGGATGTCCAAATTTGGTCGGGGTGTGTTCGGATGAATGAATAGAGGAGTCCGTGGGAGAAGATTCCGAGTCGATGTGGAGGTGTGGTGAAGTTATGACACTGCGCTCGTACTCATCGTCCGCATCGGAGTCGGCGTGGTAGGAGGTGTGGAGAGACATGACGGGGGATCTTTGGTGGCAAGACAATATTCACCGCAAGTAGAGATGAATGGTATGAGGCGTTCACAGGCGCTGCCGCCAGAGTGGAGGTAATAGGGCCAGCAAAGACAAACAAAATGAGTATCGGCAGTAATGCGCCGAATGCTCTATTTTATAAAGCGCGGGCAGAACGAGGGGACGTCGAGACTCGAAGGTTTCAAGGCGAACATGAGCGGATTCGCAAGATCGTCCAGCAGACAAGGGTAGTATTGGGTGTCTCGGGTTCTGGTCGAAATATGTTCTCGATGCTTCTTTCGAGGAGGGGTGTTGTCGTCGAGTGCGAATACGCGGCAATCAACAAGCTGAGCAAAGCGGGGAAGGTTGGCGGTTCAGGGCCACGGCGGGATAGGGGCGTTGGAAGAAAGTAAGGCCACCGGTGAAAGCGAGTGATACGTCTCTGTTCTCCGAAGCGAAAAGTAAACGTCTAGGAGCAAGCTTAGAGCAAAGGTCGAGATTAGGCGAAGAGGACGCCTGTCTAATGAGAATGGGGTTCACGTGACTGGGCCTGGACTCTTCATAACGGGGCAATATTGGAACCTTGGAACGTTGACTTGGAGATTATACGGAGTATACACTACAACTACAACATACAACATACGTCTCTTCCTCTTTTTACAAATACCTATATGTTCTCCGAGTTGGGGCATTTTGTCCAATCATATATTTCTACAAACTCAATATCTCTGGGACGCTTTGAATTTGTCACTCACCCCGCCTTCATCAAAACGATGCCAAGCACCTACACAAACCATTATGGCTTAGTGACTCCTACAGTCCCCCCTTTACTCCAGGCACCCATTGATCGATAAAGCCAAGCTGAACTTTTTGAGTGCGCTTGAGATACCCTTCCTCGATGTTGTCCTCCGTGCCAACATTCCTGAAGCCCTCCTTAGAAACGGATTTGGGTGTGATTATTTAGTGAGTGGCCTGTGATCGGGTACACCAGTTAGTTTGGTTTGGATGTATACTCCAAATGATGGAGAGTACTTACCGTTGATTGTTCTATCGGCTGCAAGCTTCATCATGCACATTTAAACATCTTCTCGAGGCGCAGACTCGACGCCCTTGGCTCTAAGCTAGGCCTCGTAAGCGGCGGATCGAATGATGCTTTTTATATAACTATATGCTGTTAGATATTGATCTCAAATCAATAAAGGATAGAGGCGTCCTATAGGGTAACGTAGCTTATTCGAATACCTTGCACGTGGGAGTTCCGACGGAGTATTCGCATCAGACCTCTGAGCCCATATTTACTGCTGGTGTATTACCTGTTTGCCTTGTACAAGCAAGTGCTTGGCCATTCTAGGAAGTGATATTGCATTTTACAAACTGAATACCGCCTGATTGGATGGAATAGTGCAATCCACAGGGCCGGTGTACTCATACCGAGGTATTTGAGGCATATTGATATTGATATTTAACCTTTAAAGGCTTGTTCCTTGCTAGATGCGCAGAATGAGAACTGCCATGCAAAGTACATTAATATTTCCGACACACTATCGCCAATTTACGTCCTTCATCTCCGGTCTCGGGCTAATGCCCGTGGCTTTTGGCGGCACCCCCGCATTTCAACCGCAGGGCTTGATTCGGCTATCCGAAAAAAGTAAACCGACCGAGAAATAATCCATCAGAACGATACTTTTTCACGAGGCCGTTCAGTCTGCGGGGACTAAAGATAATCGAATAGATCTTGTGGGGCCTGGAGTACCTACTGCGTCATCAAGAGCTATGGAAGAGCCAAAGCTCCAGGTACGGGAAAACGCAGTGTTCCGAAAAAAGGGGGATATTCAGAACCCCAGTGTGAATTGGTAGTCTATTCAAATGCAACAGCGCCCGTAGACTTCGTATGTAAACCCATGTAATTTGATGCAGCCAGGCCGAAACAATCTGTACTCCTTAGAAAGAACCCGCCATGCATGAACGCATTTTGAAATGCTGTTTCCCAGCGCCCGGTGTCTGTCATTATTTCTTGTCGCCGTTGGGCGCGCTCTCGCCTTCCAAGTCGGCCACTTCTCGTATGATATCTTTCAATCCGCGAACACCCTCGTCGACCACGGTCTCCGGAATGCGGATATCAATTTCTTCAATGTACTTCAGAGGGTCGTATGGGTGATCTTTGACTTTGTTGCCTTTCTTGGTGCCGTTGGTCTCTTTTGTTCCATTTGTAGTTTCACCGTTCGCGGTATTGGCCCCCAGTGCGGGGTGGGTTCGGCCCTCTGCCGAAGCGAGTACTGCCGCCATCACATCATCGAAGGTCTCACAGCGGCCGGCGCGGAGGAGTTCTGTGGCGAGGGTGGTGACTTTGTCGGTCCAGCCCAAGCGGTGGAGGGAGCTGAGTAGATTTTCCTGCAGATCTTCGAGTGCGCTGCTGGCGGACAGCTTGACGAGGAGGTCGGATTCGAGGGCGTCGGGGGTGGAGGAGGCTCCGTTGGTGGAGGCCGAGGGGGGCATTGTGGTGGGTGGGTTTCGGGTTTCGCAGAACAACGCTTGAGCACGAGAGAAGGGGCACGATATGAGCTTTTAGGACAAAAGCTCTAGTTCCGAATCGCGCACAAGAAATGAGGCAACGCTTTGCGCAAAAGCGATGGTTGTCGGAGTGGAGGGGCCCGCCCTTTATTTCAGTGCGGGATTAAAAGCGGATTAGAATTACATTGCATGTAGAGAACAATAAACATGCATAATGACCAGACAATTGAAGCTGAATAGAAAATAAGAAATGGGAGAGTCGATGAATAGGAAGACTCGCATTGACAGCTCGGACAATCGGCGTTGTGGGTCCGAGCGGTGAATCGCCTAATGTCATATGATTCTTCGATTCTTCTTTTGAGCCTCCTTTATTCCATTGAATTAATATGGTTGATATCCTCATAATTCATACTATTCTTCTTGTCTGCACAAAAATATACCTGATTCGGCTCTGCTAGCAGGGCAACTACGATTATGTTCTAGTTGATATCCGATCCTGATATCCACTAACAGATCCAAAAACGATGTATGCATCTTCGGCCTACAACTTAGGACCCTATTTGGATTTGATCTCAAATGGACCAGCCGCAGGACTTGTCAGTGCCCAGGCAATGCCGTCGCTCATAACCTCGTCCCACCTCTTGCTGTCGGGCAGCTCCTTGTATCTCCTGAATCCATGAGGGACGCCGGGGAAGACATGAACATTGGTAGGAACGCTGATGAAACATTTAGCTTTTGAATACCCCAAATTACGAAGAATATGGCAAACTTACCCGTTCGCAGCGAGATGCTGTCCATAGAACAGACCCTCATCTCTCAATGGGTCATTTCCCGCGATTCCAAACGTAGTAGGAGGCAAGTCTTTGACCTCTTCCGCGGTGGCATTTCCAGGGTTCATCCGACGATCTCCAGCAGTATCCTTGTTGTCGCTAAGCCCAAGAAGCCCGCTGAACAATTCCATTCGAGCCACCGGCAAGACAGGGGCGTCGACACATTGCACATAGCTCGACAAATCAGGGCTCTTGAGCAACTCCAGTCTCGGCGCATAGTGGGCGTATTGTACAACACAAGGAATCATGAGGACTTGTCCCGCAATCTTTGGGCAGGCCGCTAAGCGCTGATCCTCGCCGCGCAGCTGGGCCAGCGCCAACGACGCAGTCAACCATGCACCAGCCGAAATACCGCCCACGACAACCTGCTCGCTGATACCGCCAATCTCGGCAATGTTCTCGTGTAGCCAGACGAATGCGTCTTCAACGTCATTCCAAGCAGTGGGATAGCGATATTCGGGGGTGTGTCGGTAGTTGACATTCAAGACTACGACTGGGGTACCCTTCTGGACACGCGAGGTGACAATCCGCGAGCAAGTGGCATCTTCAGAAGAAAGTGTTCCGAAAAGAAAACCTCCGCCGTGAAGATGGATGTAAACAGGCAGGCGCTCGGAGATTGGAACGCCGGCGGGGCGGTAGATGCGTGCTTCGAGCGGCGTACCGTCACGGGCTGTGATTGTGTGGTCGTGCAGCTGGACTGTGGCACCGAGACCGTCGATCATATCTTGAGCGGCGGATGCCTCGCGGCCCTTATTTAGCAATGCCTTTAGTTGTTCCACCGAGAGGCCCTTGGGGGGCTCAGGCAGTGTGGACTCGAGGGCGATCCATTCGGCGCTGGGTGTACCATATTCAGTGAAGTCGGCCATTGTTGTAGTGGAGAAAGGTAGTTCTATTGCTAAAAGAAGCAGGAGGAGAAGAAGAAATAAGAAATAAGCAAGAAATACATCTTCTACCCGGATTTAATAAACCCCGCTAACTATAAAAGCCGCGCAATCATCTCACGGAGGGGCAGTGCACGCAATGCATGCACAAATGCATGTACGGAGCACTATGTACATAGTCATGTACATTCACTGAGAGACATATCGCCATCACCCTTAGCCCCCCACATCACCTCGGCTCGGCTACCGGCAACAGCATATCTCAGTATTCGGTAACCCCGCATGAAGATGGACTATTTAGGTATGCCGTGAACGAGCAAAGACGTAGCAGGTATAAGGGTAGATAGTATGCGCTTTCTGTTTACGTACTTTTTAGATATAGTTGACTGGTAACTTCCATTGAAAACCAAAACCAAATCATCAGATCAAAAACCATGGAACCCGGCATTCCATCCGATCCCCCCTCGCGTTCTTTAGTCGGAAAAGTCGCCATCGTAACAGGCGCAGGCTGCCTGGGTGATGGAATCGGAAACGGACGTGCGATTTCAATTCTTCTTGCTGATGACGGCTGCGACGTAATCTGCGTCGACCTCAACCTGGAGTGGGCCAACAAGACCGTGGAGATCGTGAACTCGAAACCCGGTCGTGGACGAGCGCTTGCGATTCGTGCAGACGTCACATCTGAAGATGACTGCCAAGGAGCGGTGCGCTTTGCGGTTGAACAGTTTGGACGACTGGACATTTTAATCAACAATGTCGGAATAGGAGGCGCGGCGGGCACTGCGGTGGAAGTTGATATGATGCAGTGGGCTAAGAGTATGGAGATCAATGTTGCCAGTATGGTCCAAATGGCCAAGTATGCCATCCCCGAGATGGGCCGGAATGACGGCGAGATCAAAGGGAGCATTGTGAACATGGGAAGTGTTGCTGGGTTGAAGGGCGGTACACCTCATCTGCTATACCCGACTGCCAAGGGTGCCATAGTCAATATGACCCGTGCTATGGCGGCTCATCACTCCCCTGATGGGATTCGTGTAAACTGTGTCTGTCCAGGGGTATGTTCACCATTTTCACTGTATAGAACAGAAGCTGATGATACTAGATGCTGTATACGCCTATGATGTATGGGAAGGGAATGAGTGAAGAGGCGCGTGAAGCCCGTCGGAAACGAAGCTTATTGGGAACTGAAGGAAATGGATGGGACTGTGCTGGAGCTGTTGTATTCCTTGCTGGACCTCATGCTCGCTGGATGACTGGTGTAATTCTGCCTGTTGACGCAGGGACAACAGCTGCTGTGGGAATTGGAATGACGAAGAGCGCAAGTGTCAATGCCTAAAATTAAGGTCGGATTGCAGTTTTGCTCAATGTTTAACCCTTCTCTTTGCTCCTATAGTTCCACAGAACACTAAGATACATCCAAAGAAATGTCCACGAAGACATCCGAGAAGACATCCAAAAAGACTACCAAAAGGACTACCAAAAGGACTACCAAAAAGGCGTTTTTATTTTCAATTTACCATGTGTAACCAAATAGACTAAATATACTTTGATACATTCATACAAGATCTGACACCAATGCAATCCGATCTTTGATCTTGCCTTCTCCCAGTTCTTTGAGAACCCTCGGGAAATCCTGTAACTTGCCCAATTCGACCTGAGGCTGAATGACTCCCTTAGCAATCAAGTCAAGCACATCTACCAAATCTCGGTACTGTCCACCATATGTGAAGATGATGCTTAGTCTTTTCCGAATTCCGATCTTCATGTCCAATCCATTGATGAGGTCATGCGTGCCAACACACAGGATCTTTCCTCCAGGACGCACTGTTCAAGACGGATACAGTGTTAGCAGGAGATAGATCAAAAGAATCGAAAGATATATTGAAAGAACACCTAGCGAGGATACTTACCAATCTGTTGCGCATCCTGGTTAGTTTGATTGCTGCCCACAAATTCAAGTATGGTGTCAATCTCCCCATGCAACCCATTTTCCTTGACAAACTCTTGCACTGACTTCCCAACTGGGACGATATCTTCTGCTGGAACACCCAACTTCAGAGCAGCATCCAGCTTTTCTTGCCGCAGATCGGAAACAATGACTCTAGCACCGATAGCGCGCACAATTTGGAGCGCATTGAAGCCAAGCCCACCAAGCCCAAAAAGAAAAGTAGTTTCTTCTTTCTTGACCTCGGCGCGGCGGGTAATACCATGATAAGCTGTAGTGACAGCATCAGTAGCGACTGCAGCAACGGCTGGCTCAACGCCTATGACCAGAGTTAGGTTAGGTACTTGACCGTTTCATGGCGCAGAAACTTACCCTCAGGCAATGGAATCGCTGCGCGAACATCGACCGCAACATACTCAGCATAGAAGCCGTCCTGACCAATCCCGTGGTGCATCCCAGCCGGGCATAGTTGTGCCAGATCACGCGAGCATTCGGAGCAGGTGTCTAACCCGCATCCGGGGACAGCAATGAGAGCTACTCGGTCTCCCTGGATTTCTAAATTAGTGATATTTCAATGTTTGTGGGTGATACTCTACCCTTACCAGTTTGAACCTTTTATCTGTGACTCCTCCTCCTATTTGTATGATCTCTCCACATCCTTCGTGGCCCTGGAAGAAGATGTCAACTTTGCTCTTAATTATATTCCGTTCGTGAAGAGATGGTCATACAAGTGTATACTTCTCATTAAACTGTGGCCGGTCTTCAATGTCCAAAAGGGGTTGATCGCTATGACACACTGTCCGAAATATCAGAAAAGAAGAACTTGGAATTCGGAAATTGACGTTAACTGGTAGTACCTCCGGATGCCAGTAGCTTGACCAGAAAACCCGTGGCAGGGGTCGAGGGTATAGGAAGCTCTTCCCAAACCTATGGGAGTCAGAAATGTATGCTGTAAAATAAAATTGCTAGCATACTGGATTTGGATTTCCTTTATGCTTTCTCCAAGCATGCATTGTGGACGGTAGTGCCGTGCTGCCCATGATTTCAGAATTGATTACTGTAGTTGGCGAAGAGATAATTGATCAAAGAGAACAACAAATTATTTCTAAACGAGGATAGATACCTAGCTACTTATGTATGATAAGCTAGTCGAAATATCCAAAGCTAGCGTACAGAGTACGTTAGGTAGGCTCACTACTTCCCAAAAAGGACAGCCGATGGTGGCAACCGGCTTGGCTCCACCGCATTATTCACCAGGATGTGAATGTTCCGGAAGTCAGTCCGGGATGGAAATGATTCTTTCACGGAATGAAGTATGCACTTCAACTATAAACATGATATGCTCTGTGCAAAGCCAACAGTTATATAGTATGTGACTGCCGGTAAATGAACTGTACCGAGGTGGCAGTAGTCAGGATTGGAGCCCAGAGATACCCAAGATATTGAAACAGTAGCAATAGTATAAACTGGCCTATCAACACGATGTCAACTCATCAGCGACCTCGACATAGAAAGACAAGTCATTTCCCTCCTTCATCTCAAACTCGGTAAACCCATTTCCCATGAACCGAAACCGAATAGCACTGTTATGCTCGATCTCAAAGTCTTTCAGGCCGAATATCACTGATCAACCTCTGGAACAAAATAGCACTGCCACCAAACAGTGCAGTAACCAGGACATCCACCTTATTGCGCTTGTACCGGCTCTTACAGCCGCCAGTCCAGACCAATGTTTTATGGATCTCATCGCCGTATTTCCCGAACGCATCTTCAGCAGCATGCTTCGGTACGACGTATTTGATGTCTTCAGTTGCCAGTTTCTTTATCCATTTGACGAAGTAATCACCCGTCCAGTTGATAGATTCAATTAGAGAGCCATGTCCACCTAGACAATTGGGTCCCATCATGATAAAGTACTTGGGGAAGTTGGCTGTGGCAACTGAAAAGTAGGAATTCGGTTCGTCTTCCCATTTATCTGCTAAACTCGTCCCATCCTGGCCGACGATTGGATAACGAGGGCAGTGAGAGACGTCGAAATCCGTAGCACAGATTACTGCAGAACTTTAGTAACAGACTTTTGAGCTAATTAAACTAGTAAGGCTGACGTGCCGACATCACATTCGAAGACATTTCCGTCTGCTGTGTGAACTGCATTTTCAGTGATCTTGGTGATAGTGCTGAGATTGCAGTTTGGTCTTGCAAAGGATTCTAGGTAACCTGGCCCTGGAGTGACACGGCGACAACCGACCTCCCATTTTGGAATCAGTTTCTCACAGAGATCGGGGTCGTGGTTGAGCTTTTCAGCCATTTGCTGCGCGCCAAATCGGTCTGCCGCCTCGTTATTCTCGCCTTTGATGAACTATGAACAATTAACAGGGCTCTTGCTGATGAACGTCATGCTGTTTGACCCTCGGTGTCTGACTTTATATTGGGAAAAGGCCAATCAGAACAGACATCTCGAGAGGTACTGCGGGAAGACGACTGTCCGAACTTGGAAAGCCGGCACTCAGAGATCTCCATCATAGGTTATTGGGTTCGAAGCCAGTTGCCAGTATGATGATCGAATCGATACAGCTAAGATACCGATATAGAACGCCAAGTCAATGATAAATTACTACCGGTACGAAAGCCGAGAGCCGAGGGTATCGAGGGAAGCTTGGCGAGAGATTTTGCGGGGGCGGCTTTCCCCCGCCTTCGTAGTGTGAAGGCAGTATGGTCAATGTTGTAAATTGTAACCTTCAGATATAATTTCAATCATGTCTGCACCTCTTTGGTTACAATTCACTGGTAATCAAACCAAACGGAAGCGGGCCGAGCTCGCCTGTGTGGCTTGTCATAGCAAGAAGGTAAGCTACCTATATGTAGTTCACCGTCGTCTCGACAAAGAGGCTAACGGCTGCAGATTAGATGTGACCTGCAGGCGCGAGGGGCTCAGGGGCATAGTAACTGCACCAAGTGCGAATCTGGCGGCAAAGAATGCCGGTGAGTGATTATTCCAAGGCTTTTCGGATGTATGGCCTGACCCGGTCATAGAACGAGGCCATCAAAACGAGGTCGGCCTGCTGCAAATGCGGCCCCATTGACACCTCCGGTAACCGAGACCCATTCCTGTGTTCAAGTAAATCGGCATGGCTCTATTCCGGATCATCTTGCTGTCAATCAACCATCATCTGGACCGCCTGGGGCCCGATTAAGAAATGATAGCCGGTCGTTGGACTTCCCCAGAGATCTGCTTCAGAGTTCTTCCATCTCCCGGGCACATGTTGAACAAGCAAGAACTCAAAATTTTCACAATATTGAATGGCCGCTGAGAGATGACCCATCCCCAGGTCAAGTGCCGCCTGACCCCCAGGGCAGGCCTATGCAAGCCACGACCAATGATTCTCCCGCCACTCAACGAACAGAAGATCACTCAGAGCATAATGATAGCTACCCAATTGGTCATGTCTTCCTACCAGAGCTACAAACAAATGCTCGAGCCCAGGAGCGGCTCATTGCTGAAAGAATGCCTGAGGTGCTCAATCTACCTGATCCAGACCTACAACAAACATTCGCAGAAACATACTGGGAGTACTGTTACACATGGTGTCCAGTCCTAGACCGAGAGACCCTCTCACAAGAGCTCGCTCGATCTCCACTACTCGTCAATGCCCTGGCAGTGGTTGGTAGCCATATTAAACCGCCCATGATTCCACATGATGGACCTGCCGGCTATTACGAGCGAGCTCGCACTAGGTTCTACAATGATGAAGAGGCAGATGTCATGACCTCGTTGAAAGCTATTTCGCTATTTTATTGGTGGAGTCCGCGGCCACCAACTATCCTCCATCGCCATTCTTCTTGGTGGTGGACTTCGGTTGTCATCCGACATTGCCAACAACTAGGTGTACACCGGGAACCAGCACAAAACCATCCACTACGTCAACAGATTGATCTCAGTCTTCGGCGTCGAATATGGTGGACGGCATTTGCGCGTGAGCGACTAACTGCTTTGTGTCAAAGCAAACCATGCGTCATTGACCCCGAAGACTGTACCCTGTCAGAACCCACATTGGAAGATTTCTCCCAGGACACGGATAAAACCAAAGCCGAAGTCTTCATCTACTGGGTCCGTCTTTGCACTATCATAGGCAAAATCGCAAAATACCTCGCTCGTTCTTGCGACGCCAGATCTTCCGCATTCCCAGCATCTCTGGCCCGCGATCTCATCAGCTGGGTCCAGTCGCTTCCTCCCCATCTGCAACTGCCGATTGGATCGGATCGCACAACCCATTTCAATAGAGATGTGCATCAACTCCATCTTCCGTATCTGGCCGTTATTATCATCATCCACCTTCAGCGCTCCTCCCCCTCCCAGCCTCTCCCACAAGCATATCCACCAGCAATACTCGCCGCGACGTGCATGGCTCGCATCATGCGGGACATTCTAGCACGCGGAGGAACTCGATTCCTCATGGCCATATCGGGGTGGTATTGCGGCACGGCATTTATTGCGCTGCTACAAGCTCTTCGAATCGAAGGTCTGGCCAAGAGTGCCAATGAAGATCTAGATATCTTGACTCTAGCCGTGGACCAGCTGCGCATCATGTGGCCCACTGCCGCAGTATTCCACTCGGGCTTTAGTCGTCTGCGGCCTGGTGCTACCGCGCCGGACTTTGACTCGCAACGAGCGCCTGGTCCGGATCTTGGTATGGGTGATGGAACGGTGTATATGGAAATGGCAGATGGCATTGATTGGACTGCCTACTTCCCGTTCGCGACTACTGAAACTAGTGGCATCGCTGGTAGACTGCTAGTTCCACATACCGAGGAGCTTTTTTTGACGATGATGCTTTCGCTGATGCTATGCTTCAGTTTCAGGATTTATTTGAGCCTTGCGATACCCTTACTGAGATGAATCTTTTTATGTAACAATGTTTCCCCATTATCTGCCCCTGCCTAGGTAGTTTTGTATTCCTTATTGTGTCATACTACTTCCATTTTGCTGTAATTAGCCTAAACCATTGTGAGACTCACTGGTGGGCTAATATTGCACAGCACATCATTCTCGGCCAACGGCTACCAAGTGAGCCTGTGCTCTGCCAAAGTGATTCTCGTCCGGCATCTCCAGGAGAAACTACCCAGCACAGACCAATGGCATTCGATCGTCTTTAGGGGTAATATTGCTAGCAAGATTTAGATGGCACGTGTGGAACATCTTTCGAGATACTGTCCTAGCCATATTCAATAATCCACAGAGAAAGCCCTATGTCGTTAAGGACAGAGGCTGCGTAAGCGGCCGAATATTCTTGTATATTTAATGGGGTCATAATCTGTAAAACTGAAAGTATTTCCTAGCGATGCCTTGTAATAATATCATTCAATTACCAAATCCCGGTACTCTCTCGTGACCACCTCCTCTGCACGCTTTCGATATCCAGGCGCCGGACCCTGGTATCGCGCAATGATTCTCTTCTGCTTATGCGACAAATTCTTATTGACACCAGTCATCCAAGAATCGACATCATTAGCAAGCAATCCCACCGCGCAAGTATGAACATGCTCCGTCCAATTTAGGACACTCTGCCGCGTAGCCCCAGCAAATGTAATACCCCGATCCCGACAGAACTCAATAAACCGCGCCACCCAGCTCGCAGCATACTCCACGCTGCGAGGGATATTCCCAAACATTTGATGCGGTCCCATAACCATCATCATATTGGGAAAGCTCTCAACAAACAGACCCAAAAACGTGCGTGGACCCTCACTCCACCTATCCTTCAGCTTAACGCCATCCACACCCCGGAAATCAATTGCCGTAAAAGAGCCAGTCACTGCGTCGAACCCAGTGGCATAAACAATCATATCAAACTCAAAGGATTCATCCTTCGTCTTAATTCCAGTCTCGGTAACACATTCAATGGGATTGGATTTGACATCCACCAAGCGTACATTGGGCTGGTTATACGCCTCGAAATAGCGCGTTTCCATGGGCACACGTTTCGTCCCGAACCCATGACATTTCGGAATAAGAATCTCTGCCGTGACGGGGTCATGCACGCGCTCGCGGATCTTGTTCGCGATAAACTCGCTAAACAGCGCATTCGCCTCCTTGCTCGTGTTGATGTCGCCGAAGTTGCTCATCCACTTCGCAAACCCGCGTTGCGCATATAGTAACTCCCAGAATGCTTCGCGGTCTTCCGGGCTCAGGTCGAAGGTACTTCGCTTGTCCGGTACGTGCATAAAGCAGTGCCAGGACTCTGCGCATTTGCGGAATATCTCTGGGTAGCGGGATCTGATTTCGTTCATCTCTTCTGCGGTGATGGGTGCGTTCCGGAGGGGCAGGCTCCAGTTCGGGGTCCGTTGGAAGACGGTCAGATGGCCTACTGTCTTGGAGACTTCTTGGATTACTTGGATGGCAGTTGCGCCAGTGCCGATGACTGCGACGCGCTTGTTTGCGAAGTCGACTTGCTCTGCAGGCCAGCGGGCAGTGTGGAAGGCTTCGCCTTTGTAGTCCAGGACTCCGGGGATATTGGGCAGGGTGTAATTGTTCAAAATTCCAATACAAGTGACCACGAACCGTGAGGTGTATTGTTGTCCCTTTTCGTCTGTTACAAGCCATGACTTGGTGTCGTCTTGGAAATGTGCTGCAGCGACGCGAGTGCCGAATTGCATATCTCGACGGAGATCGAATTTGTCGCACACGAACTCGCAGTACCGTAGTGTCTCGGGCTGCGAGGCAAAATGTTCTGACCAGTTCCACTCATCGAGGACTTCTTGGGAAAATGAGAAATTGTATGAATAGCTTTCAGAGTCGAATCGTGCGCCTGGGTATCGATTCCAGTACCATGTTCCGCCCACACCTCCGCCGGCCTCCAAGACTTTCGTCCGCAGGCCTAATTGTCGCATCCGATATAGCGAGTAAATGCCGGAAAGCCCGGCGCCAATGATAAGGACATCGTAGTCGAGGTCTTTGTTCTTCTGGCTGAAGTTTGGTTCTTGGATGCTGCCCATGATTCAATGACTTGCGACTTGCGTTATTCGGAGTAGTCAAAATGGATGCAATATTTACCTGGGATATTACGCCCTAACCATGCAATATATGGTCCTTCTTATCTTACGGCTATAGTTTACCTTCCCATCTGGGCACCGGCCTTCGGCCGATAAAGCCGGAAGTATCCTTGATAGCGTGGACCATGGCCGATTTGCGGGGAAGAGACCCACATCCATACAGCCGGTATGCGCTTGTACGAAGCCGAGATCAACTATACATACCTACATCTAACTGAGATGCTCATTATTTAGTGACACTCATGGTCTCCGGGGCGCTATAGGGCGTCGGAAAGAGTGGCTCGAGTTCAAATCTCAAAATGAATCTACACCAGCACGAGGAGCTTAACCGCTCAGACTATGTTGCCGACGGCTGCATGCACGGCGAGCAGAGACTTGTTAGTCGCGGTGTGCCGGTGTCGTGACCTGCTACTGCCGTGAACTCGGGCATAAGGGGTTGGTAGGGTTCGAAATCGGGGAAAGATTTTCACACGGTAGCGACCAGAAACACTAGTCTCCTCTAGAACAAATGAGAAGCGACCGAACTCTCGACACAGGGGTGACACCATCATCATCACATTGTCGGTGCGGTTGACGCCTTAATTGCTGCGGTGAAAGAGGTCACGGATGGTTGGGAAATGTTGGAGTTTCCCATTCGACCAAGAAGCCTACGATTGCAGTAGTCGAGGATCTTTCTAGCATTTTCAACAGGAAACGCTAGAGGCAGTGCCAGATATGTCCATTGTAAGTAGTGAAAAGTTTGATGAACGAAGCCATTAGACTTCTGCAAGGCTTGTCTTCGTCGAGTTGTTTCATGCGCCTCTGACATATTTCTTTGGCCTTCTTATGGGCTTGAATTGTATCAGCAGCACTCTTCGCATCCTGGGTGTCTTCCCATTCAGCGGTTGTGCCGACGAAGCTTCTATATGAGATTTTCCACTTGATCTCCTCGCGGTCTAGGGATATCTGCTCTATCTTCGCAGCTTGTGCCCAGTATCGCTGGTCGAACGACCCGGATGGTTTCCACTTAGCGCGCGCGGTATCCAAGTCCTTGAGCAGAATATTCAACTCGGTCTTTTCCTTCCTGAGCACAACGATTGGTTCGGTCTATTTATGGGCAGGCTCTGGCAGAGGGTCGAGGGCACACAGGAAGACGCACAGTAAGGTTGTTTTGGTGTCAAACAGCCGCCCTCCCTTTGATGCTCAATCTCATTGAGCCGCTTAAGGATCTTCCTGCATTTATCGTGCGAGCTGGCCTATGTCGGGTAAGAATTTTCAACCTCAGGCTTGGAGAAAATCTTACCGATTGCCTATCATCGTGACGAATCGATGTTGTGTATGTATGCCCTTCCATGTTTGGGTGGTCGCTGATAGCCGCACTGCGAGGTAAGACCGGATCGGGGATCCATGTGAGGTCCTAGTCATTCCCTAATCCGCAGCCTTCATGATCACGTTCTCAATGCTCATGATGGGCGTGGTGTCAGAAGGGGAGAGTTACATGATTGCACGATTGTCGAAATGAGTGTACTTGAAGTCGGCGAAGGTCCTAGCGCATTAACAAACGCAGGGACGACATGCTTTGCCTCAAGGGTTGTTCCTTCCTCGGCGACCTCAGGACGTCTGCCATTACGGTGTTTTTCGACCGTCAAAATACATACAAATGAATTGATCTGTTTATGGGATTCCACTCCTCCAAAAACACCAACTGCTCGCTATACAAGCTCCCAGTCACGCTTGCGAGTTCGTCTCTTTCCAACGAAAAACCCTATTCGAGTTTTACCCAACACACCTAACCGATCCTGTGGACTAGCGCTATTCCAAAATGGCAGGTTCCGACAGGTCAGACAATGACGACCTCTCTGTAGGAGCCAAGAGCTCTAGCTCTAGCTCCGATCTTGCGGATATGAAAAAGCTGTCAGCAATCGACACACTACACAATGACGAGGCACTAAAGGTCCTCGCGAACTACAGCCGCATGTCATCTGTACAGAAGAAGAGTAAAACTTCTCCGCCGAATTGACTGGCGACTAATGCCCATCTTGTGCGTGACATATGGACTGTAGTTTTATGACAAGGCGATTTCCTCACAGGCCGTATGTCTCCTACGCTCATCTGTGTCTTCGCAGCACTTCTAATATAAGATAAGTGTAATCCACGCACTGTTTGGCCTACGTACAGATCTGGACCTCGGCATCGGGAACAGATACTCGTTCTCTGCGGCATCTTGTACCTCGGATTCATAGTAGGAGCATATCCGGCCATGACCTTAGCACAGAGATTCCCCGTTGGACGCGTCGCCTCGGTGCTGATTTCCGATAGGCAATTTTTGCTGGTCCACTCATATTCAAGGAGAATGATGCACCTTGTTATGTGCCGGGATTTATTGTTGTTGTGACCTCATTCGTTGCCGGTGTCACTGTGCTTATGTATCGGTTTGTGTGCGTTGGGGAAATCCGCAAGCGAGATCAGTCCAGCACTGCGGAGGGATATGAAAATGCGTACCAGGACGACTTGACTGATGAAATGGTGAGTGCAAGAGCTGATCTGTTAGCTTGTTCCTTGCTAGCTGTCAATTCTGATCAGAGTCCTCAATTTCGGGATATTTTGTAGACCGGACTCTGCCATGTGGTATCACACTGTTCAAAATCAGCTTTATCAGATGTCACAGCCTCATTCGAACTTTATATATGTACATTTATTTAGATTTATTCCTAGATTGAATCAGGAGGAGTCACTGTCTTCCTATAAATTATTAATCAGAGATTATCTGCGGAATCATCGTCTTTACAAGTATGCAAGCCCCAACTGGGAGATAAAAAGACCCAATAAACCAAAGATGGCGTAGGGGCGGCCGTACCTCCTCCTACGGTCAAAGGTAAATAATATTTAGACACAATATGGAGCAAAGAAAACGCGAATAGGCTAGCTCCACCAAAAAAACATAATAATAACTCCTGTCGAAGCAGGGTGGTACGGACAAAAGAGTTCTCACAGAGATGCCTCGCGGAAGGAGGAGAAGAAGAAGAGGAAGAAAAAGAAGACAGCTTGCAAGGATCAAACGCCAGTTGTACAATCCAATCCATTCCGCCAAAGAGTATGATTCGCTGAGATGAGAAGAAACGCCATTAAATGCCGGGGAGAGTTCGTGGTATAGTCATTATAGATCGCCGTCTGTGTCGGTCGCCACCATGCGCTGTTTCTGTTTATCTTTGCTCTTCAACTTCAGTGCGTCAATTGTATTCTGCACTTCGTGCCTGGCATCTGTTTCAAGGTTGGTGCGTTCATCTGGCTCAAGCGTTTCCTTATCCCCAACCCGCTCGTAGAGCATGCGAGAGATGGACCGGTTGATGTTCGTATATTGCTCTTTCGAAATGGTCTTTTTCTTATAATGGGGTTTTAATCCAGTGCCCACCATCTTCTGGATATCGGCTTTGAGGGCTAGGGATGGACCAGCTCGAGTGGGGGATGAGTCGGGTGAGCGGGAGGCCCCGGAACACAGTACTCGTTGGGGAACGCGGGAGCGAGGACGGCCGGGCTGGCGTTGTGGTTTGTCTTTGGCGCCATTTGACGATGGACTGCCCGATAAGGAGACTTCGGGGGAGAAAGGAGGAGATGAGGGTTGGGCGGGGGAGGATAGTTGAATAGGGGAGATGGGGCGGCTTCGCGGGAAAGGTGGCGGTGTCGCCGCTGAGAGGAGAGGGGAGGAGTAACGAGATGAGGCAGGAGAAATGGAGGGAGTAGAAGGACCAGGAGATGGGTGGTCGGCGGGAGCGACAGATGTCGAAGCTGAAGGTCCATATGAATGACTTGGTGCGTCTTCGACTTCCTTCAATAGTGATGACAGGAAGCTTGGTCCGGTGGGATTGTCACCACCCGGTCGTACATTGGAGCTCGCAGCTCTGGATGATTCACCATTTTGAGTTTGCTGTGCGCGAGCTGCGAGCTCCTGCGGCCTCCTCGTTCGAGGACGCTTCAGCTTGCGCTCTGGTTCTGTGGGTTCGGGGGACGGAGACATGGTCGGCTCTTTGCGCTTCCTGGCTGCGCTCGGGTTGTTTTCGATTTCTCGTGCCCTCTCGAAGGCATTCCAAGCCCGCATTTCCTCCAGGGACTCGGGCTCCGGTGTCGGAACTCTAGGAACCCGAGGTCGCGATGGTCGGGCATGGTCAAGATCGAACAGCGATGCAGTGTCGCGCAAGCGACTGCCACCGCCTTGTCGCTCAGCGATCTCAAAGCGGCGTTGCCAAGCTTGAAATTCACGCTGGTTGGCCTCCTCGCGACGGCGCTGTTGCATCGCACGTTCGGCAGATCGATCGTCATCGAAAGGGAAATCAAGATCGAGATTCAGATGATCCCAGACAGATTGCCAGACTCGTGCCCAATGCAGTGAATTCGTCTGGGTTCGATTATGCAGTCGTCTCTGCTGAGCCCTAGTTCGTCGACTCCGCTGCTCGATCGCCCGAGACGGCCGTGCTGACACTTCGGGAGCCGGTCCCAGAGCACGTAACTCCTCACATTGTTGGCAGTACCATGAACCCGAAGGGATCTCGTCCAAGCCTAGGCAGTATAGATGAGAAGGTCCATCACACCCGTCGCATAAAAGAAGAACATCCTCGTTGTCGGCTTGTCCGCAAATTGTACATGGTTGAAAATCGTTCAAGTCATCCTCCACATATTCAATTATCATAGAAGGGTCAACTTCGGCCACTTGGGTTCGGTCCTGGACAGCGTAGGATGAAGTAACATTTCCTATAACAAATTAATATAGTCAGTACTTGTAACTAAGAGGGGACCATGTCATAAGTCAAAAGAAGGGGGAGCGTCATACCTCCGATACTATCACTCAACTCCACCATATTGAAACTGCGCCGACATATCGGACAACTGTTTGCCCGTTCAACCCATGGCTTTAAACAATTATTATGAAGGACATGACCGCAGGGAAGTAGCTGAGCGATCTGAGAGTCGAGCCCATTGAAGTCGCCATCCTTCAAATCAAGGCTCACAGGCTCAAGAGGATCGCCCGCTCCTTCACCAAGGTCACCTAAACAAACAATACAGGTATCGGACATGAGCGACAGAGTTATTAGAGAAGGCGAAGTCCATGAAGAGCGCTCGAGAAGTGTAGAAGCGAGAAAGGTGTGGGGAGCGCCTTTTGAAGGTGGGCCGGATTACCGGACTAACGCAAAGCAGGAACGTGACGGAGGCAAATGATGCACGATGCCCTGGATTGGCGGGTTTGGGCTATTTCGATATTGGTATTACCATGACTACAATGTATATTTGAAAATATTGAGAATTATACCAAGTTTCTTTTTATTATGGCTACTATTCTTGAGTATCTGATGTGGTCATGGACATGCTGCAACCATCCAACAAGGTCCATGTACAACACAAATTACACAGAGTCCCTAGTGAAAGGCAAGGTGGTTGCCGATCTACAAGCGAAAATGACTACATTAGGCGCCCATGATTTAGCTGAAACTCGAATCACACCTGGGCAGTCTTGCACAGTTTTCACCTTAGTCATCGTGTAAGATCTCCGAGCAAACCGTCACCAGGCGACCAATATCGTATCAGTAGGGCATGTATCATGTGGTTCGGAGTATGCCAGGCACCTGGTGCAAATGTCCAGGTGCATGTAGAAAGTACGAATGAAGATATAGTCCGGAGCGCAGTCGGTCAAGCACTCAGACAATACGCTAAGACCAGGTGACCTCCAAATCAAGGTCCACTCATGATGTTGTCTACGTGACTGTCCAGCGCCTGAGACCCAGAAGCCACAAAAGACCGGCCTGCAGTCCATCCATGATTCACACGGTCGCATAACACCGAAGTAATCAGGTGGAGGATCTTGGATTGACCGGTGGATTGTCTATCATGTAGGCAGCGACCGAGGCGAACTTTGGAAACCAATCACATCGATATACGGCATACTCGGGGCGAAGCGGATTGCAACAAGAACTTGTATTCCCGAATTTTTTCATTCATTTTTGGTATTCAGACGTAACCGTAAAGAGAAATGAAACCACACAATCCTCCCATTTAGACCTCAGCGATCTCACGCAGACGACGGATGGTGGAGCGGGTGGCAGCGGCAGCGGGGGTGCTGGAGAAAATGGAACTGTCAGTAATCTTTTCTGGTATTGTGCGTTATGGATCGCGACTGTGTGCGCCAACCCAGGTCGATCCCCGGGTCGGATCACAGTGTTGTTCCTTGCGATGGTGTGCGACTTACGAGACGACGTAAGCACCGCCGGCAACGGTCTTGTCGCAGCCCTTGCACTCCCAGATACCGACAGCCTTGCGCTTGACGGTGTTCTTTCCGCAGAAGGTGCAGACGTAGCGGGCGTGCTGGGTGACTTCCATCTTCTTCACCTGCTTACGCAGGGAGGCACCGTATCTGTTGGGAAATTGTTAGAACCCGAGTCGTCGTATAGGAGTGTTCGCTATGGGTCGTGTGTCTCGAGGAAATCACAGTCGTCGTGGGCGCGAAATGGGCGAATGTCATACCTGGTACCATATTTACCGGTGATGCCGACCTCTGTGGAAAATAGTTAGCATTGAGCAATTCGGTTTGCGGTGTGTTGAATTTGAGAAAGAGGCACATACTCTTGGTGCGCTTCGTCATCTTGGCTGGTGTAGAGGATGAAGATGGGTATTCAACAGGAGACCAAAAAAGACGCTTTGAATGAGGGCGGGTTGTGCTGTGGATTCTCGCTTAGGGCTCTTGGCTTCGTGCGATCACCTGACCATTTTGAGTTAGTGGGCTTACGTCAGGATCTTGATGGCCTCAGGTTTCCAATGCTTACTTTGTGTTTCGAAGGTCCACCAGGTCCACCAAATTGAGACGATGACGGTGTTGGTGGAGATGATTTGGGTTAAATTTCCAAGAATTCGTTTGATTTAATATTGGATTTGAATTTTTTTATTTAGTGCCTTCTATTTCAGGTGTCTAATATCATGTGCAATTCCCCTCTACATCGTACGAATACAATGCAATGCCTAGATGTATATCAAGTCTCAAGTGTATCCCAATTCGGCCTAATTGTGTTCCAGACCACCCGTCTCCCTTTCTCGGGCTAATCGATCTATCCGGTCACGTGATCAGCCACTGCCTCGGAATATAAACATATGCAATTCCCAGATCAAGGTATAATCTCAATTGTGTAACATTTCTTGCTTCTAGTCCTATGTAAAGCTTCAAGAATTTCCTGGATATTCCACCTGCTCCTATTCCCAACCTCCACCCTGCATCTTGAAACGTGCCGAGGAGCTTGTTTGTGATTTGCCGAAAGCTCCCTTCTTCTACACAAAACTACATCATAGACTCCAAACCCATCAACTCAACCACCATGACTTCCAACCGACAATATGACCTGGTCTTGCTGGGCCCAACTGGCTATACTGGCCGATTTTGCGCAGAGCACATTGTGCAGAACCTTCCTACCGATCTGAAATGGGCTATCGCCGGTCGATCAGCGCAGAAATTGGAGCCTATCGCCCAGGAACTGAAGGCTCTTAACCCAGATCGCGTGAACCCAGGTACATAACCTTACGGTCCCAATTGCCTACGGCTTCTGTATTTGAATGCTCACTATCATGTGATCATA